ACTGAGCCCACGGCACATAACCATTACCACCCACCAGCACCACCATGTAAACTCAGTTATCCTCCAGTCAATTCCAGCTCACCCCATGATGTCAGGGCAGAACTGTGCTCCATAAGAGTGTCAATGGCTGGTGTTCCAAATGTAGATCCCCTCTGTTAGCAACATCTCTGTTCTTAGGTGTGTTCGAGTTGGTTCCAATTCATAGTGACAGTGACCCGGTACGGGATTTCTTTCCAAGGCTGTAAATCTTTGCAGAAGCACAAAGTCTCATCTTCCTCCTGTGGAGCTCCAACCTTTGTGGTTTGCGGTCCGATACTTTTCCTACAGAGCCAGCAGGCTCCCCAGGGCATGTCAAGATGGACTCAATGTCCACCCTTCTGCAGCTGAGTGCATCAACCAAGTGTACCACCGGGGACTTCCTCACACCCACTTGTTGGGTAGTTAAATACCACTGAGTCGGTTTCAACTCTTAGTAACCCAATATAGGGCTTCCGAGGAGCCAGTACTGGGTTTGAACCACCGACCTTTCAGTCAGCAGTACAGTGCTTACCCTGCAGCGCCACACTTCACATCTACTGTTGTTGCTAAGTGTCGAGTCGGTTCCAACTCATAGCGAGTCTGTAGGGGGTTTCTGAGGAACACCTGGTTGAGTCTGAACCTCTGACCTTGTAGTTCAAACCTACCTTGTGGTCCAGTGCTTATCCTGCTGCATCACATCAGGACTCCCACATGTACTTGTTGTTAAGTGCCGCTGAGGAGCGGCTGGTGAGCTTGAACTGCCGACCTTGTAGTTCAAACTGACCTTGCAGTCCAGCATTAACCCACACCCCAACGGTGCTAGTGAGGATGTGGAGAAATTGGAACCTCCCTCCCCCTTGCATTGCTGTAACATGGGACAGCTATTAGGCAAAACAATTTCTGAAAGAGTTAAACTGTAGGAATACCATGACCCATAATTCCACTCTTGGTTATACACATTAAAAAATTCAAAGTAGGGATTCACACAGATACTTGTACATGATGAAGCACTATTCACAAAAGCCGAAGGGAAAAAGTCAACCAAGTGTCCATCAACAGATAACTGGACACAAAGAATGTGGTCCAGCTTCACAACAGAATATCCTACAGAGAAGGGAAGCCCAGGCATATGCTATAACACCGATGAGGCTTGAAAACATGATGTGGAGTGAAATAAGGCGACACAAAAGGATAAAAGCTGTAGGATGCCACATATAGGAAGTAGCTAGATCAGAGAAATCCACCAAGACAGGAAATAAGACTAAAGTTTAACAGGGACCGGGGAGTTATTGCTCAGTCTGTGTGGGGACATAGACAACTTTGGGAACTAGAACGTGCTGACAGTCATATAAAAAGTCTAAAATAGCCAATTTAAAAAAATATATATATGAGCACATAAGCTTGTTGGCAACCACGTTGGTCTACATGTGACTGGAAGTGGGGGAAAGGCAGCAATGAAGATATGGGCTGAGTTCAACCACGTTCCATAGACTCCTATCAATCTGGAGATGAGAGAGAGAAAAGGAAGGGCTGGTTGGTCTGAAGTTTGGGGAGACTTGGGAACTCCTAAGCCCCTAGATACTGACCCAGCCATGGAGGGCTAGGGCTGAGAGTGAAGTGTTCAGCTGATATGTAGTGAATGGAGGCACTCAAGAAAGCCCAAACATGCAGATAGTACCCATCTGACCTAGCTTCAATGGCTTGAATGCAACTAGAGGAAGATAAAGAAATTTGATAAAGAAAACAAGTGTAAATTGCTACAATTTGATGAG